AAATAATCCTGAAAGAATTAGAATCCATTAAATAATCAGTCCTGTGGTTCTTTAGATAATATATAGATAATATATTATCTATATCTATATCTATAAATATAGATAATATATTATCTATGTATCTATGTATCCACATAGTATATGCCGGCAACACAGGTCTTCTCTATTAGCTATCTTTATTTCAATAATTGTCTCGATGATAGGATTGTGTAAAAGCTGCCTCTCTCCCTCACCCTAAAAAGGGGGAAAGGGGTGGGTTGGGGGGACCAAATGTGCTGAATCCTTTTTTCCCATCTGCCATTCCCACACTGAGCCCAGCTGTGCACTCGAGAGGGCGGTGGCTTTCAGACCACCCATATGTCATGAGCTACTCAAGAGAGTAGGAGAAGTGCATTAATATCCAAGGAAACAATATGTTTATTTACTCAAATCAAGACTTGGGCTGAGAGTAGAAATGGGAAAGAGACGGGGGAGAAACACACAGCCCGAGAGAGAGAAAGTGGAGCAGTGGGATGTCAGATCCCAGCCCATGGTCTGGGCCCCAGGTAATCCAGCCTAGCGACCAGCTAGGTTTTGCAGGGATGGCTAGCTCTATCGTGACATGAGCCAAGAGGTCTAGGAAGGACGGATCTGTAAGTCTGCGACACTCCTGAGTATTTTGAAGGATTCTGAATAACACACACAAATGTCTTATCAAATCGACGTTAATCTGAATCAGCTCAAGTCATGAGCTGTAACTGAATGAAATAATTGATCATCACAGTCCAATGTGTAAATATAATAATACCATCTTTTAAAAAAAAATTACATCATCATTCTTTTTACATCAGCTTTTTTTTTTTTTTAAAGAAATAAAGTTTCACAGCTACAACTAAAGCTGTCCTGCCATATTTGCCCATGGGTGGGCAATGAATTCAGGTTCATTCACGTTAGTTATTTATGTACTAGGTATGCAGATATCATGAGCAGTTGTTTTTTCCTATATTCTGAAATCTTACATAAATGGCATCATACTGTATGTGTACTTCCAATGCAATGTTTCTAAGATTCTTTTTAATATTTTATTTACTTATTTGACAAACAGAGATCACAAGTAGGCGGGGGGGGGGGGAAGCAGGCTCCCTGCTGAGCAGAAAGCCCGAGGTGGGGCTCGATCCCAGGACCCTGAGATCATGACCCGAGCCAAAGGCAGAGGCTTTAAGCCACTGAACCACCCAGGCGCCCCTGTTTCTAAGATTTATTGAGATTACGTGGATCTACATCATTTCTTCTCCTTGAAAACCAGGCTTCTGGCACACTCTTGTTTCTAGGTAAAAGCATCAAAACCCCAAGTGTGGCCACTGAGGTGTCAATGCAGACCTACCCCGCCGCCCTGCTGCTGTGCCAGGTGGCTTTCCTCTCTTTAGTGAGCATACCACGATCACTTCCAATTTCCTTTTTGTCTCTAGGACTTAAAGATTTCCTTTTGATCCAACTCCCCCAAGTACTTAAAATTTGGAGTCATTTAAAACATATATATAGATAGATAGATAGATAGATCTATATATATATCTGGTAGAAGGAGGGAAGCCTGAACGATCTGGCCCCCTAAGTTGCTAGAAACAGAGAGTAATCCAGTGAGAATCTTCCACCCATTCTTTAGTGTTTTGACTTATCCACGCCTTCCACTGTACTGTACTGGTCACCAAATAGGGACCAGGGAACACGTGCCATTCATGTCTATGGGTGACGGGTCTTTCCACACAAGGAAAACGGAGTACAACAGCCTGGGAAAACATGTGCCATATGGGACTAGGATCTGACCTGGGTAAAGCTGGAAAACCATGGCTCTCATATGTCAGCAGGGCTCATTCTATACCCCTGAATATTTGCGTGCGTCTACTGAAAATGCACGGAATGTGACGGGTGGATGAGCCCAGTGTTTCCAAGGCCACGGTGAGATCGAGCTGGGGTTACCTAGTTCCTAATTCCTTCTGCGTCTTACTTTCCAGGCTGGTGGTTTGATGCATGTGGTCCCTCCAACTTGAACGGAATGTACTACCCACAGAAGCAGAACACAAATAAGTTCAACGGTATTAAGTGGTACTACTGGAAAGGCTCAGGCTACTCGCTCAAGGCCACAACCATGATGATCCGACCAGCAGATTTCTAGACGCCTGCACACACCTGAGGAGTGGCGGCCGATTATGCGACTTTTAGAGACCGAAGCCCAAAGCTCTAATAGACAAGGCTGCGTTCGGTGTCCCCGTCCACCTCAGACAGGCCGCATGCGCTCGGGGCCGCAGGGGTCCACATGCTCCAGCTCAGAGCCCCGTAAGCCTCCTCACTCGAACCCGCATCACCCGTGCGCCAGCGCACAGCCCTGGTAGCGTGACCCGGTAGAATGCCTACGTGAAGATACAACTAAGCCTGCGAATTCAAGACTGACGATTTACAGACTCTGTTGTCACAACCAAGAATGTTGTGCGGAGTTCATCCGTAAATAACTGGAAAACAGAACACTTGGGCTATACAGCAGAGATAACCTTGGAGCTGCATTTTTCTCAGCCCTGTTTATAGATTGTGTAAATATCCATATGTCCTGAAATCAGCATCACTATCGTAATTGAAAGGAAGAAAGAAAATCTCTAAGCCATAAAAATATATTATATATTCAGGGATTTTTCTGGGAAGTGCTTATTCGCAGTTTAATATTTGGAGAAGGGAAAAACATAGTTAATGCATTTTTGCTCCTCCTCTTAGGTGCTTTAAACTTTCATTCTGAAGTCAGCATATTTACGAATGTGTTGACAGCGTAGTTTTAAGTTAATGCTCAAATATGTATTTCAAGTTTAAATGGTGAAAGCTTCCAGGATCTCTGAAGTTAATAGAAATGTGTGTTCTTTCAGTTTATATGAAGATTGTACTATTTTTTTTTTCTGCCTGGCTGTTAAATATGAAGGTATTTTTAGTAATTAAATATAAATTATTAGATAATTACATTTAACCTTTATGATAATATTTACGATTTGTGATTTGATTCTGAAACAACTGACTGTGCCTCATGACAAGGAAAGATCTGGTTTTTAGTGATGAAGAAAATTACACATTTAATTCCATGACAAAGAAACTTTACTATCTTTTCCTCACTATTCTATTAGAAAGGTCCTTTTTTTTCTCTTCTAGTAAGATCCATTTTAGAGACGTAAGCTACAGTTTAGTTTGTGGTTGAAAAAACCTTCTATTTAAAGCACTTACAAAGCTATTCTTCTCAAGCTAAGCTAGATTCACCCCAAAGTCTTTTTTTTTAAATGTCCACTAGCAAATGTTAAAAAAAAAAAAAAAAGGCATTTGGGAATGCAAAAACAAAATCTGATGTTTACAGTAGATTCAAATCCTTATAGAAAATTCTGAAAGCATGGATTTAAGCTCAGGGCTGCAAAACTATTTGAACCACTAGAGTTTTAACTCATTTGAAGTTTTCATAGAACAATTAACACTAATGTACATTGTGTAATGCTGTATAATTTGGAAGCAATTTCTCACGTATTTGCCTTGGAGTCAGCTGCTGCTAGGAAGCTTAGGGCCAAATTTGAAACTGGCATTTACCACATGTCTGTCTTCACCTTACACTGTTCTATTACTATGTTTTTTTCTTTATTCCATTTTTTCTTGTGTAATTTATTTTCCCGCTCTATGCCCCCACCCAAACCCTGTTTGAGAACGGTAACATTCACTGCACGATTCGAGTCAGGTCATGGACTCTGGAAGAGTCAGGCACACCACTCTGTCCACCACTCTGCCACACTTCCCGGACAAATGCATGGAGTAAAGAACCTTCCCATCTCTGAGTGGTTTCTCTTGTTACATTTCAGTAGGCTTTAAGAGTTCAACAGAGCACAGCTTTGTACCAAGTTAAAACATTATCTGGCCCTAAGAAAGTATCTCCACTGCACAAGAAACCATTAAGCTTCTGCCACATCTCAACACCCACACAGCAGACCCAGAGGTGGAGAAATGACAGAATGGGAAAATTGGCAACAACATACAACATACAACACCATGCAGGCAGGTGAAATGCGTTTCAAAGACAAGCCGCACTGGGTTACACAGAGTTACATGTACTCTCTTATGACAGAGAGTAGGGGGATTCGAGTTTTACACTGCAATTCCTTACGTGGTATAGCAAACAGAGGCGTGCCAAGAGAAATGTTTTTTCTCCTTAAGAAAATATTTATGCAGTGGAGGGAAAATCAACACGATAATCTTAAAAAACAAAACAAAAGCAACCCAACAACCTAGATCAGTCAGTGAGGAGAGGGCAACATCCTACGCATCCTCAAACAGCAAATAACACCAACCCTGGCCACAGACTAAGGCTGCTGCTTCTTACTCAGGTTATTAGCCTTCCAGAAGGATAAACTGTGTCACAAACCAGCTAACTTTTTTGAAAATGAAAGCCAATATCTACACGATCCTGTTTCCAATTAAACCTGAATTTACCTATTTAATTATTACTTAATCTTTTAAAAATTTAGAGCTTCCATTAAGCACTCGAAATATTTAAAATTTAAAATGCCGTAAAGCTGAAGCTGCATTTGGGAAGCGCATCAGGACACAAGGACACATCATGCCGCTCACAGTCCGTGACTTTTATACCTATCAGTTCTATCTCTACGAGCAGTAACAGCCTGATTTCTTAAAGCAGTAAACGAAATACTGTACCACCTCCTCAAGAATCTAGTCCTTTTTCATTTCTTGTTTTTCTCAATCCTGAGGACTTTCATAATAAAAATTCTTTAAGATTTCATTCCACAGGATTTTTTGCAGAATATTCTCCCATTTCCATATTTGTTCTCACAAATGGATAAATTATTTTGAAAACATCTATGAAAGTATGTTTTTAACTGTGAGCATAATGGGTCTTAACTTAAAAAAAACTTGCATCCATATCTATGCAAATAGTAATTTCCTGAGAATTCCAAATTGTATTTACCATAATAAAATAACATCTGACTTACAGGAGCTGCAGGGAAGTAGTTAGAAAGTTCAAACGGTTCCTCGGAAATCCAGTGACCCAGTTCCAAAGACCACAGTACCTACAAGTGACACAATAAGCAGAACATTTATTATAGATTCATTAGGCTCTCAGTGGATAACAAACCACTTTGAAGATATAGCCAAAACAAAACAAAAAACCCAGCAGTGACTACACACTCCATAGATCTGAACCAGATGTGTCTTACACACCAAAGTACCATCAGAATCTTCATGCCGCATCAATCTTATGCATAATAAATGCTTTTCTTTAAGGAAAAAGGGTTCCAATGACTAGAAACCTGGGTTATTATCCTACTGAGGCCAAATACTAACCACCACCCCAATAACAAATATATGAAATACCTTTTTAAGAATTCCAAGTTTCCAATTTAAGGAGTCATTATAGACAATCCTCAGTAAATATTCCAGGATTTTATTAATTTAAAAAAAACACATTTATTAGGAGAAGATAGATCATAAGCTTAAATTTAAAAAGCAGTCCTTCTGGCATGTGACTTTGTTTCTAACATGGACTAATATTTCCAGAAGTTCTCCTAAAACATCTGAAAATCCTTCCCAGGCTTTGGAAGGATAAAATGTTTCATAAACAAGCTTTCAGTATTATTATTTATTATTGTTATTTGAACCCAAATATTTTAAATGATCAAAATAATGTTTTTGTTTTTAATTCAACAATTTTCAAGATTCTACAGTCATCTCTACTTGATGAACAAACTCCCTGAAAATCTGTTTCTATTTCCATGCACCAATAGAATTTTATAACAAAAATAACCAAACTGAATTACATATCCCATATTTATTTTTCATCCGCAATTTCATTTCTCACATTCATTGAATCTACCCTCTTTTCTACAATTGCTACTACAGCTCAAGTTCATTTTGCTGAATTACTGGGGATGAGGAGAGAGTTTTCCTGTTTGGTAGCTTCTAAGATTCAGACCCATCGATGGGAGCATGGTCTTAAATATTTCTAAGAAAAAGTGAGCATGGGGCGCCTGGGTGGCTCAGTGGGTTAAGCCTCTGCCTTTGGCTCGGGTCATGATCTCAGGGTCCTGGGATCGAGCCCCGCATCGGGCTCTCTGCTCAGCAGGGAGCCTGCGTCCCCCCTCTCTCTGCCTGCCTCTCTGCCTCCTTGTGATCTCTCTCTCTCTCTCTCTCTCTCTCTCTGTCAAATAAATAAATAAAAATCTTTAAAAAAAAAGAAAAGAAAAAGTGAGCATGCTGGTGGAATAAAGACAATAACGAGATACAGAATCTAAATGACAATTCTCAGCACTGGTCTGGATCTTACTTTAAAACTGATGCATTTATTCCCTCAACACTGTTTTCTTCATCTCACTAACCGCGTGTCTGTGAACAACATATTGAGAGCCTACTGTGAATAAGAACCCACGCTAGGTCCTGAAAACACAAACCCAATCCCAGAGGAGTTCACCCTCTGGCAGGAGGCATGAAGGCAAACCACAAATGGTGATTTCTCAAAACAGCTCTGTGGGAACCTATAGAAGAAGCAAACTAACTCAGTCTAGGAGAATCAAGGAAGGGTCCACACATGACATTTTAAACAGAGTCTTAAATGTTGAGTAAGAGTTCATCAGACAGAGAGAGACAGAGTGAGGAGGGGAGAGGACATTCCAGCACAGACAGAATGCCACATGCCAAGGCAGGATTAAAGTGGGTTCTTTTATTTGCTAAAGTGTGCTTTGGAAGAAGGGTAAGAAAACTGGGTTGGTTAGATTCCTATGGTGAGGTATAATAATATACCCTGTTTCTATCCCTGTGTCTGCAGGGGCATTAGCACATGGCAGAAGAACAATCCAGAAAAGACAGGAGAAAGCTCTAAGGGCGCTGGGCCCCAGATGACAGAATGGGAATGGAGTATAATACAGGGCAATGTGTCTTCACTATAGAGAGAGGAAGTAATGAGTCGTGTTCTCAAAGACCCTAATTCCATCTTCACTTAGATCTGTGTGTATGCAAGCATTCTGTCAGTTAAGTCTCCTTTTGCTTTCCCCTGATTTTACTGGCCAACTAAATTAGATAGATAGATGGAGACAGATAGATAGACAGATAGATAACTTCATAAGTTCAGTGAAAGAGGGTATGAAAAAAAACGGTACAATGAAATCATGTTTCTACCTGGCTCTGTAGAGGTGGTTAAAACATTTAAGTTACACAGTGTTTGCCTTGCTTTTATCAATGTAAGGTATCATCTCTAGAGACATGCTAACAACATCTGTGTGGTTCCTTACAGATCTGTGATTAGAGTAGGAAGTAAAGTATAAAAAGCTTCCAAATCAGGTTCACATGAAGCAATGTGGATAGTGAGAAACATAATGTACCAGTGAGAGAATCCAAGGAACCAGTCTTAAAAATGCGTGTGGCATTTGAGCTCAAGTGTCATCCACATTAAAATGTCAGCCGAACCTCCTGGAGAAAATTTCTGTTCTCTGAGTTTGTCCCTTTCTAAATGTTATGAAAATAAAACCGTAAGGCATCTATAGTAGAATTTTGGCAAGTGAATTAATAAATTGAATTTGTCCAGGCATCCCAGGAATTAATATTGAACAGAGATAGCAGAAAACACTGATTTGATTGTAATGAAATCATCAAATAGAAACATAGCGCAAACTTCATGCTTAGTTCTTTCATTAGCCGAAGTTATCTGTAGCTTCGTAGAATATTCAATATTGGGAATATCTCCTCTGCAAGACCACAGTTAAGGCTGTAAGTGGACTAAAAGGTCAACCCAACATATTTCCCATCATATGTGTGATAGAATAAAAGTAACTAAGATGTATTGGGGTTGCATAAATACAGAGGACCAAATCCCATGTTTATAGCCCTTAAAACAAGGGCTGAGTTATTTCAGCAACCACTGTGAATGGATATAATATTTCTGACATGTTAAAACTGTTGTTCATAAAACTTGAACCCTGTTGATGAATTTAAATAGGAACCACTTGTCTTATTATTAGATTAACAGCTATCGGTAGGACAAATTTCCACAATGTAGGTGGGACCACATAGTTTATTCCATACCAGGCAAAATGCCAATGGTCTTCTCTCATTTTATACACATCTAATCATTTCATTTGAACAATATGAGTCAGGGCAGCTACAGTGAAACCAAGTCAGAAAATGGCACTGGTGCGGAAAGCAAGTTGATGATACCATTTACAAGGAAGACAATGAAGGCGCCTTATGGTTTACGCGTAGCAAGATGAACACATCTTAATCTTCACCTTCTCCCCAATACTCAACTAAAAGGATAGAATTAAAAAGAATGAGAAGAGTCTACAGCAGATAAAACAGGATGTTTTGGAAGTTGCAAAGCAGACGCGTAAATGGTAAATGACTTAGAAGGGCAAAGAAAGTTCAAACTTAAGTGTCTAGAGAAAGAGGTCCATAGGAAGCACCCAATTCTCTCCACAGATTCTCCAAAAGGCAAAGAAATTGGTGTTACTGGATACCTCTAAAGATGGGGTATAGAACAGGGTAAAAAAAGAGACCTTTCCTATCCCGTAGCCCACCTCCCATGGAATAAGACAAAAGTCAAGTCAGGCTATTCTGAGAGCAATGGTGGAAACACTAGGAAAAACCTCTCCAGACCTCCCCCTGGGACACCAGCCATTCTTTCCTGGGGACAGAGATCAGCCCAGGGGAAAAAAAGACATACAAATACTAAAGCTTGGATCTCAAAAACCTCCATTCACATCAAATTATCTATATACCCCTCAGGCAGGCAGAGTTTCAGTCAGCTTTTCAATGCCTTGTTATGACTTTATACCTATTTGATAAAAAGCCTCTAGCTTGAAAACATAGACCAAACCAAACAAGAATGGAATTCCTGGGATCGCAGTGATGGGAAGTCCCTGGCTAACAGCAGCTCTGCAGACCTCAAGAGAGCCAGTCTCAAGGGGAAGAGAACAAATGGGCTCATGGGTGGTGTCTCTGAGAAAAAAATAAATGGGGCTGGAAGATAATCTGATGTTGGAGACAGATTTCAGAGAATAATTACAATGGTTTTAGAAATTCTTGCACTCAGTTGGTGATAGTTGCATAGAAAAGTAAGCAATCAAAATAGCTGTCAATGATTAGCTCAGGAAAACCAACAAACACAAATCATTAGAGACAAGTCGTAATACTTTACAAGGCTCAGTTCAAAGAGCATCCACATACTCATTCTTGTGCGCATGTGTGTGTGTGTGTGTGTGTGCGCGTGCGCGCGCACACGTGCGCATGTGAATGTGTTTATATGTATATATAAAATGTTTAAAAAAATTGTAACCACATTGAGTAGACTGGGGAACAGAAGAGTAGGTGGTACTGAAAGGCAGCCATATGTCCTATTTTGGTCTTCTAGAGAAGGAATTCTACAGACAATGTCTCAAAGTGAAGTTTTTAAAAAATGGCAAGAAAACCATTGTATTTAGAAATATGTAAGTAACATATCAGGAGGCTACTTTAAGGAGTGAAAAATCAGACTGGGAAACAAGAAGGCATGAGGTGCCATTTTTTATTCTAAAGGCACATTAATTATACTTGGTTTTTAAAAAACACTTTATTTTTAGATAGTTTTAGACTTACAGTACAGAGAGTTCTCATTTAACCATCACCTAGATTTCTCTATTGTGTGATTATCCAACTTAACTTCACTCTTCTATTTCAAAAGTGCTTTGCAACTTGAACCAGTTGATATCTACAAGAAAATCTTGCTGAGCCTGTAATTGGAACTAAGTTGAATCTATAGATCAAAATGGGGAGAACCAAAGAGAAAGACAAATACCATCTGATTTCACTTACATGTGGAATCTAAAAAACAAAACAAACAAAACAGAAACAGATACAGAGAGCAATCCAGTGGTTGCCAGAGGGGAAGAGAGTAAGTAGATGGGCAAAATAGGAAAAGGGGAATAAAAGGTACAAATATCCAGTAATAAAATAAATAAGACACCGGATGCAATGTACAGCATAGGAAATAGAGTTAATATGTAACAACTTTGTATAGTGGCAGAGAGTAGCTAGATTACCATGG